CCGTAGGTGTTGCCATGCCTGGATGGTGCGTTGAGCCAATTGGACTGGATCTGTGTGGTTGCCGTCAAACCCAATGTCGTCAACCCAGCCGTTGAGATGGAGTTCCGGGAACTCCCTGTGGAAACTGGTGAGGATGGGCTGCAAGAAGGTCTTGGCTAGGAGTGGAGCCTGGGGGCAACCGGCAGCTACTCCAGTAGTAGCATGGAACCATGGGCTGAGTTCACCCTCTGCCAAAATGGCTTTGTGGCCCGTGTACACCTGCATGGCGAACTCGAGGGCAAGTGGTGGGTAGTCCAGGTCTTGGGCTGTTTGTTGAAGACGTTGTAGATCCAAAGTGTCGTAGAAAGTGCTCATGTCCAGCAGGACAGTTATGCCATGTTTGCCCAAGGACTTGGTGGTTTCTTGGCGCAGCAGTCTTTCTAATGCCACATGTAAGGCTGTCGCTCCCGGTCTGGCTCTGTCATAGTTCATGGCTGGAGGGAGGTTGTTCTGCCATGCATCCATGATGGGCTTTCTCATCTTGCACCAGACCCGATAGAGCACGCTGGTCAGCGTGATGGGTCTTTCCACCTTCTCGTTCTTGGCCAACATCACCACCAGGGAGTTGGTTGGGTAGTTCTGCTTTGGCTTCCATGGCTTGAAAGATGCTTTGGTGCCGTGCGGTACAATAGGGTGGTGATTGCATCAGGTCCACATGCTTTATCAGGCAGCCGCTTCAAGGTTTTGCCCAATTGCTCGTAGGTGAGCGGTGGAAGTTGGGCTGCTTGTTGCTTGGCGGCCCCTTGTAAGGGCAATCTGGTCATTGGCTGGTCATCTTTGGTGGGCTTCCAAAGGGAATGCCAGGCCCGCATTCGGTGTCTCATGCGATCCGCTATTGGGATGTCCCGGTATGGTCGCTGCCAAGATAGCTCACTGGCTTTGAGAGAGAAAGAGCCCTCGAAGGCCTTTGGTTTCCCCTTGCCTGATCCACTCCGCATATTGAAGGCAGGATTCTTCGCGGCTCTGGGTTTGGGCTGCTTCAAGCTGGTGTTGCACCGTTTGTTTCATCAGCTCGAAAGTGCGGTCATCTCTGTATTGGAGCCAGTGTTGCTTGGTATCCATGAATTGGGCCCAGGTCTGGTCTCCCAACCATTGGCGTTGCACCTGGTGGAGTGCTATGTTGAGCCCCTTGATGGCGCCTGGTGCTTTGGCGGGTTGGTGCTCGATGAGGTTGAGCCGGGCTTGGATTTGTTCCCAGTAGGCTGCTTTCCCTTTCTTCCAGATCCCTCCTGCTTTTGTTGGGACCAGTGGTTGGTGCTGGGTAGTAAGGTTGGCTGCTCTTCCTTGGGGTGCCCATGGGTGTTGCTGGAGCAGGTATTGCTCTGTGACGGAAACCCAGTTAGCCAAAGCCTCGGGCTCCTTCATTTGGTGGGCTTTCATAGAGCACCAGATCCTCCACCTGGGTGACATACGCGCTCCAAGCTCGAAACCCGATGTCCAGGATGTTTGGCAAGGGCGGGAAAGTCCTGAGCTGGTGATACTTCCTGAAATCATCTTCAAGCTCGAGGGCATACGTGACCAGGCAGTGTGGTCGCCATGGTATGGCCCATTCGGTCGTCATTGATGCGCACGCAGCCAACTTTTCTTCGATGATGGCGTAATCGACCGTGTTCCCATTGAGCATAGTGGCATCCGGTGCTAGGATTTGCCAATGGAACTTGGAACTGAGCACGGTGCTTTGGAAATGCTCAGGGTGGTTGTTCCAATCACCCACCAGTATGTATTGCCTGTTGGTGGCCTGAAGCAAAGCCAGGATGCGGGCCAGGATCTGGGAGTTGGTGGTGCCCTGGATGGTTTCATTGGTTTTGAAGTACACTGCAACCACCATGATGGATCTGGCCTTGGCTTCCCAAAGGAAGGCTTGGTAGCCGCATCCGGCTATGGTGAAGGACTCGAGTTTGGTCAGTCCGTGGGCTGTGTCATGGATGATGAGGATGCCTCCATGGGCGCCATCATTGGTGGTGTTTGCCTGAGCTGGATAACCAAAAGCATGCCTGCCTCGGACTTCGAAGTATTGGCACATGGACTGGTGTTTTTGTTGGTCCAAATGGGTCTCGATCAGCACATATATCTCATTGTCTCTGGTCCAATACCAGTCCAAAGTATTCTTCCCGAAAGCCGTGATGTTGGCCACATTCAGTCTCATGTTGTCCTGGGTGTGTCTTGCTTTCTTTGGCGGTGTACTGTGGAGCGGTGGATCGTAATCCGGGCTCTCTGGTGGTGGCAATGCCCTGGCGATTTGCCTTGGGGTGATCAGGGCTGCGGTCTGGATGCCCCAAACTTGTACTATCTGTCCCGCAAGTTGAGGAGTCAAAAAGGGTAGGACTTTGGGCGTGGCTCCGTCATCTGCTACCCACATCAGGTCCTTGTACACCAAAATGGTGTAGTAGTGCCCGGTGTCGTGGGTGGGGCCGCGGTGGCAAATGTATGCCATTGGTATGTATTTGGCACTGGCCCTGGAGAATCCATCAAGGGATCTGGGGACCGTATATGGTCCATGGGGATTGAGGGCCCTCTTGTGTTTTGTGACGGTGCCCTCTATGGTGACCGCTCGGTTGATGTGGCTGACATGGATGAGTTTGTCATCGCTGAGATACTGCCCATAGCCTTGGTTTGCCCAGCAATTCATGAGTTCTTGCCAGGTGGTCTCATCCAAGTACTCATCCGGATAGTCCACAATGAGGGGCAGTTGGATGTGTTCCTTCACATAGCCACCTTCCTTGATCTCCGTGTGTCTGTATTGCATCACTCTCGTCTGGGAATGGAGCCAGAGAGAGTGGACAAAATGCGCCGCATCTCCTTCAACATTGATGACCTCATGTTTTTGCCAGAGCTGGTGTAGTCCTGGTAGTTGTTGGATGTCCACCGGCTCTGAAAGCTCCAAGGAGGTCTGCACTGCCTCTTTGATGGCGCCCCAGGGGTCTCTGTTGAACTCCGCTAGATAGGCGCACATCCAGCAGAAGGCTCTCCATGGTGAATTTGCATAGCACCTTGCGCTAGGATTTCCCACCACCATGCTCAAGTTCTGGAGGAGCAGATCGGTGGTGGAAGCATAGTATTGTGTGCTCATGTTGGTGTGGTGCCCTTCCATCTCCCAGGTAGAGCTCGTTTGATCTGGTGCCCCACCGTTGAGCTTCAGGCACGGTCCATGTGTTGGAGCACAGGCGGTCAGAAAATGGGTAGAAACGTGTGACTGAAGTTGTGGAAAAGACTCATGTGGTTGCTGCTCCCCTGCAACAGACTGAGTTCCCGCTTGGCGCATAGAAATTTGACTGTGTGCTTGATGGTTCACGACATCTGGCGCGTTAACCCCCACACTGGTGCAGTCCACTTGCGACTGCTCCCGTCCTGAGCCTGAGGCAGCACGGCAATCCCATTTGGTGTGGTTGGAGGCCTTCAGCCACTCCTGGTCATTGGTGGAGATTGAAAAGTCCCCGTCTCCTGTTCCAAGGGTGGGTGCTGTTGAGCCGTCAAAACACGCCGACCTTGGATGTGGTGGTGCTAAAATGTTCAGGCTCTTCTGTTCCATCACATGACCATGTGTCATCTTCCGGCAACGGAAAAGTCCACCCCTGCATGTCCTTGCCGTCCCTGTTACCCACAATGTCCGGGTGGTGGTGTGACGGCGCCATCTGTTTTCCTCCGCTTCGTGGGATCATCAGGATCTTGGTTTGGCCGTTTCAACAGGCCGTGGAGTTGGTTCTTCTGCTCCTCTGTGAGCGAGATTCCAAGGCTGTGTCTGTGTACAAAAGATTCCACAGCCATGGGGATCTGTTCAGGCTCTGCTGATCCCGGGGCCAGTTCTGTTGGAGCCGGAGTCTGGTTGATGGCCTTCATATAGTCTTGAGAGAGCTGATGCAGGGCCTTTTGGCCTTCAGCAAGCTTGCTTTGGAGGTCCTGCATGTCCGTGAGGAGGGAGGCGTATTGGGCCTTGACGCCATCAATCTTCTCCTGAAGTTGGTTCTTCTTGATGGACATGGCTTTCAACTCCGTCACCTGGCCTTTGAGCTTGGTGGCAATCTCACGTTCGGTGCAGGGCTCTGGTGCTGTGAGCTTTGTAACGATCTGCTGAACCTGTGGAGGCAGTGCATCCATGTGGGACTTGAGGATGTCAGTCAGTTCCGGTTCCTCAGGTTTGCTTGGCCCTATGCCGAGCGCTTGCAACTTGGTCTGCGTCTCCTCCGGCAAAGCTGACCAGCTCGTGGTCAGGAGATCTGTGGCTTCTCTCTGCACCTTGGTCTTCTTGATTGGAAAGGCCTGGTGGGGCGTCCAGCCATGAGGTGTTGCCTGATGCCTGGTACGCTGGTCGTCCATAGCCTTTGCCCTTTCCTGTGCCGCCCGCGGGTGAAGGCCACCAGGTCCCACATCTTCGACATTTGCTGCCTGTCTTCATTCGATCTGTCCAGATCCAGTTTGTGCAGCCGTGCTTGGAGCAGGTCATGTAGGCTCTTCCCCATTGGCCTGTCATAGTACCTGATGTCGAGCACTTTTGTGGCCTCAAAGAACACAAACAGGTGGGCAAACAGGGTGGCACCTTTCACCAACAGGCCAAAGGCGCGTTGTGTCAAGTAGGCCCAGTCCCCTGGTGGTCCTCAAACTGAAAGCAGCGAGCGAGCAAATGCCAGGTGCCGTAGAGGTCAACAAGCACGGTCTTGGTGTCCTCGTGTGATTGCGAGCAATGAACGCTCACCCAGGGACACGACAATGGCGGTGTGCGTCTCTTGGAGCTCAGTGCACACGTGGTGCTAGAGGCTTTGCGCACAAGCTGGATTTCTTGCGGGGACCAGCTTGAACCTCTCGTGGCTTGAGCCATGTATGTATGTATGTATGTATGTACGTACGTACGTACGTATGTATGTATGTATGTGTATATATGTATGTATGCATGCATGTGTATATATATATATGCAAATCATTGAAAATCAATCCTGTCCTGTTTCCGAATACTACGAATACAGCACCTCGTCTAAGCAGGGAGCAACACCCCCAAGCTCGACCAGTCTTTGAGGTCGTTGACATGGTAGGGGTGTAGTACCGGGTGTAGCAGTCTTTAATACTGCCAGCTCTGGGCCTAAGAAATTGCTGCAGTTCAGCAGAAGAGGTAGGCCCACTCTGATAACTGATAACTCTCAGCCAAGAGCGTAGGCCACCTTCAGCTTTGTGCAACTCAAGGATGCACCCTGTCGAAGGCCCTGCAAGCTCTGAGACTCTGAAGCTTTAGTGGTCAGTTGTTAAACAAGCGGTTCACAAATTCGCAGTGCTTTTAGTTGTCACTTTGGATTAGAATGAATGACGAAAAGAACACACGAGGCAGAGTAGCATCTCTCATTCTCTCTCACCTTCTATCACAAGGCCTTTAATCATCCCACTCCTATCAAGGCCAAACCAAGCCCCATACAAGAAGCCTGCAACTTCATCAACTAAGGGTGAGCAAATTCCGCCACAAGTGGAATCCCAGCCCTTGGCGGAGAGAAATGTTTAATCTTGGAAGTCGTCTAAGTCTGAACTATGTCCATCATCTCGCCATGATGTTATCTTCTGGTTTTGTCCATGCAGCGCAAGCGGGTCATTGTATATACACTAAAAATTCACCGGCAAATGTACTTTATTCCTTGCCTTGTATATGGAATCTTGAAGGTCAGCAAATCTTCAGGCTAAGGCACAGGGAACACCCGCATGGAAACGAAGCCTCGTCGATCCCAAGACGCTGAGGACACCTGCTCCATATCAGATGGCAGTTTATTCAGGTTGCAACATGGGAAGGTCCTATTTACGAAAATGCAAATCTGGACGAGCCTGCATGAGGCCAAAGCTTCAAACCATTAGCATGAATGGTATAATTCTTTGCCCATTAGCGTCATAGCAGACTAAACAGGTCAAGGTGGTCTGCCTGCGAGAGTTGTCCGCTCGCACGAATAGCTTCATCGAGAGTGGCACGGAGCCAAAGGTGTGAGCCTTTCCATTAATTCAAAGGAAATAGGAAACATATATATATATATGTATAACCCTATATATATAGTGGCTTTCCGTCAGTTAAAGTTTAACCCACAATGAGGCGTCGACAGAATGCGTGCGCTGCAGCAGCCAAAGTTGCCTCGTACAATGAGACTTTTTTGTGTCTTTTTCCCGTGTCATGTCAAAATGCAACTCCATGTCCACTACAAGTAAGGTATCAAGGAAGCTATTGGCATCAGCACCAAGATCAGACCGGGTCAGCTAAAGACTAGTGTTTCAACTAAGGCATGAGCGGGTATGTCTGCGTCGTTGTTCCTCGGTCATTGCAATATCAGTGAGGCAGCATCTAGCTTATATGCTTATATAACGCTACTTAGTCTCTTGGGGTTCATTGATTTCTTTTGCTGTGTATCCCAGTGTCTTGGACTCCATGTCAGCCACAGCTTGCAGCTGCTGAGCAGCTGATTCATCTGGTAGGCGCAGCAAGGCTCCAAGCCCCTAGCATGCTCATGCTCAGCGAGAAGCATAAGAACAACAGCTGTTGCCTTCCGTATCGCAGAATGACAATGGCATAACTGCAGAACTTCAGCATTGTCTTAGAAGCACATCAACAACCTCGCTGCAACACAGCTCAAAGGGTGGCCTGGGGCTCCAATCTGAAGCCAAGCACCCTCCATGTGAGATTGAACCTAGAATCCCCAACAAACCCACAGAGCGGGTGTTCAAGCAATAGAGTCACTAGAGCTTCGCGCTGCAATATCCAAGCGAACATGTCTGTCAACTACTGTACTTTGGTGTGAAATGCCGAAATGCATTCCTCTCATCTTAAGTCTTGCATCTGCGTTGCATCTGCCTTACATCTGCCGTGTGGCTGGAGTTGCAGCACAAAAGCACCAGGTGCTGTCAAGACCACGCCATCTGGGCAGAGCTCCAGCTTCAGCGGTACCGCAGCCTCCGGCTGCAAAGCCTGGCAAGATCGTAATCCACGTCAAATAAGTGCTGCAAATTAAAGATTGTGATATGTCCACCGTGTATACGTGCGTCTGTGAATTTCTGCAATGTTTCTCCAAGCATCAAACGGCCTCTGTGATGCGGCTTCGTGCCAGGCTTGCACGGGCACCCAGGGACAAGCGGCACTGCGCAGCGCGGCGCTGAGTGCGGCTTAGGCACCAGTCGTCTCAACAACCGAAGGCCAACCACACTTCAAGAAAATGACATAAAACGTCGAGAAGAAAAAATGGCCAGAAACGGTAGTGGCAGTGCATTATCAAGATTAATTATAGGAAGCCTACAGCAGGGAAGCTTTCTGAAACAGCACTGAAGCCGCACCTCGACCAGCCAGTAGGTCTCCAAGCATGGATGGAACACCCAGGCAACCAGGCAAAGCAAAACCCTGCAGCAATCCTCCGTTGTGAATGATGGACGACGACGAGGACGACGACGAGGACGACGACGAGGACGACGACGACGACGACGACGACGACGACGACGAGCAAGGTTTAACAAAAGCACATGAGGATGCCAGAAAAGAAGTTGCAGGGGTGCGATGCTATCTGATTTCCTAATGCCACTCCTGCTGCGACTTGCACCGGGGTCTGCTGTGTGGCCAGCTCCTCCACAAGCTCCATGCGCTTTTGGGCCAAGTCTTCAGCAAGTCGCTCGGCTTGTGCATCACCTGTGTTGAAAACTGACGATAGGCGACCGGCGAAAGGCTGGAAAGCCGGAAACCCAATAGAATGAAGAATGGGTCGTTTTTTAGCCCGGTGGGTAGGCCATAGAGGGAGGTAGTACCTAAAGGTAACTAGTAGTAGCTAGGTAGCTAGTACCTTACTTAAGCTACTAGTATGGACGCAGTATAGCTCACGCTTCATTTGGTTCCTAGATTTGTAGGGAAACTTAACTCTGCTGAGGTGAAAACCGCTGTTGCTCTCCAGTTGCCGCAGGACATGTTCAACTGCAGCTGCCGGCTCAAGGAAGCCGATTCCATCTTCATCACAGCTACTAAGCCTGGGAAGTATCCACTGCTCAGAAGCAAGTATTGTCCACTCTGCAAAGCCTCTGCAAAGCTTTGACTCGCGTCCTTTCCTCCTTGACTATTGAGAGTCGTGTTTGGTTGTCTGCTGTCCAAGACACAATATACTGAGGCGCAAGAACCTCCCTTTCGCGCGGAGGAGTGTGGCCTGTATGCACACAGCGGTTGACGAAAAGAGTTGGGAGGCTTTGGATTTTGTTGGAAAAGGCTGGAAAGGATGCAGGGCCTTCCTGAAAGCAGGCCAAGCAACCCGGCATTGAGCTCACTTTAACCATTAACAAGCTGGCTTCCAGGGCAAGTGCCTCCCCCAACACCAGGCCAGGCAACGAACCGCAAGTTGCGGCTGATCGAATTGGTGGGCGTGGAATTAGCTCTCCAGTGGCTGTTAAGAACTAAAGTTGCTCAGTACAAGAGAACAAACAAACAAACAAACAAACAAACAAAATCAAACAAATAAATAAACAAACAAACAAATGGTGTAATCATGTACTGAACACGAAGCTTTCGGGCCTGAAAGTCGGCTGGCTCAGCAAGGGCGTCATAAAGCTCTTGATGACAAAGTCGCGCCGCCTGTATCCACAGAATCTTTCAGTTGTTGTTTCTTGATTGTTCATTTCTTTTTCTGTGCCCTGCCTCCTTACAGTAATTAAGTAGGCGCCTACTTAATTGAGTAAGGAGGTAAACTAGGAGAAGTTCGCTCTTAGCTAGCACGCAGGATAGCTCACGCTCGAACTGATGCTTTGGTTCCCAGATGTTTTGGAAACTTAACACTGCCAGTTTTCACAACGTTGCGCCACTACACACAACCTCCTGCAGCACGGCACTCAGCAGCTCCGGCTCCGTCATGGCACAGCATTGCTTCTGTGATTGCGACACCGATTTGCATATATATGTTATTCGAAGGAAACACAGAATGTCTCCATGGAAACTCTGCCGCAAGCTGCATGGGGATCGATTTTGTTCTTGATTTACATTCTTGATTGCTAGCCTGCAACCACTCGTGTTAAAGGTTCCCTTCCACGATTTCTTACTTTGCATTCAAGTTTGTTAGGTATATAGCTGACGGTTCCCTGGATTAGAATGACCTGCGTGCTCTGCCTCAGATGACCTGTCCTGTGTATTTCATTGTATCAAATAAGTTACATTCCGGAGGTTGGAGCTATCAAAATATCATGCATGGACTCGAGCCACATTGGTGGCTGACTCTTGCAAGAGGATTGCAAAATAAAAACTGTTGGATTGTCTTCCACAAAGGAAAAGGAACCGCTATTGGATAAACAGTCCTCTATGTCACATCAAACGGGCTTAGAACATGCTTTCTGCATTTGTGCACTGATCATTTGCCCTACTCTTCAAGATATTCCATGCACGAGTACGAGCACAAACCTGGTGGTAGTAGCTGAGCATCTGCACAGCAAAAAGCAAACCTGTTGTCGCCAGCGGGTCGACAACCTCGCTAGTAGTAGTCTTGCATTGATTACGCACCATGAGAATCATTGCTACGTAGTCAACATCTTGCAACTTCACCATTTGCCTTTCTCACTGTAGGTCAAAACAACTCTTTGTTGGGGGTGTGGGTGGGGAGCGTCGGTACATGACAATCACTTCGTCATCACCATCATCACCACCATCATCATTGTTCAGATAGGGGGTGGCCTAAGGGCCCCCCTCTCACAGCCCCCCTGGAACAATAAAAATATTATTCTGACCACCATCCAAATAAATTCTGAATATTATCCCAGTATGTCATTCACATTGAGGAATAATTTTCAGACTGCTGTACCTGACACATCCATCAAGGCTTCAAAAATCAAGCCACATGAGAGACAGCAGATTCGGCAAACTTTTCTCCACCCCATCGCACGCCATGCACACAACACACACCCAGTTCTGGAAAAGACCAGAACTGGCAACACGCACAAAAATCCTATTTAGCCAGTGTCGGATTTTAATAGCCGACGCTGGAAGTAATACACACAACACACACACACCCAATTCTGGAAAAGACCAGAACTGGCAACACACAAAAAAATCCTATTTAGCCAGCGTCGGATTTTAATAGCCGACGCTGGAAGTAATACACGCAACACACACTCAGTTCTGGAAAAGACCAGAACTGGCAACACACACACACACAAAAATCCTATTTAGTCCTATTTAGGAAGTTGAGAACAACGATTCCTAAAGAAACAGAAGATGAGTTGCACCTTTCGGCGCTATTTTACTCCTTTCGGCGAACTAGTTACAAGCAGTGTTTCTTTGTGATTTTGCGGGCTGGGCGTGCCCAAGCTAAGGCCCATGAACGCCAGCAGGACGAAGATGCTAATTCCTGAGTCTCCTTAGTTCTTTCCTTAGTTTTTCTGGTGATCACAACCCTTTAGAAAATCTATACATTCTGTAGTTGAGGGTATGCAAATTGAGGGTGGCTTGCAAAATTATTCCTAAATTATTCTGAATTCCAGGGTGGTACCTTAAGCCACTACCTCTATCTGAAATATTATTCCATCGAAATTATTCCAAAAAATTTATTCCAGTAGGTCAGATGACCCCTGGAATAATTAATTAGGCCAGCCCCTATTTGTTCAGGTATCATCGCTTTGTCACTCACGCCTGACCCATCATTTGATTTTGAGCTGCAATTTGGGCCCATGCTGAGCCCTTTCCATGCACACCTCAACTTCATGTGAAGCAATCGTGTGTGTGTGTGTGAAGCGCTTCGAGTGACAGGGAACCATTCGGTCAATTTTCAATGCAGGGGACCATCCATGCGCTGTGAACGATGGTCCGACGAAGCGGCCACAGTACATGCGGATATCACGACTGATCGCCGTGACGTACCTGCTCTGTTGTGGTGTTCTTCAAGCTGTTACTCCAATCTTCTATATTAAAGGGCTAATGCATTCTGCAGATTTGAGCGATCTTCGTCATTTCGTCCTATCATCGCTTCGCTGTCTTTTGGATTTTGATCTTTGGCCTCCTAACCACCAGCGATGCACCCTGGAGGATTCTTTTGTGTGGGACCTCGAAATTTGAGATGGTGACCGCTTTACATACAACCCTTTTTACCCAGGCAATGTTTCCATTTAGGCTTCTTCAGGCACGCGCTATCTTGAGTTTTTGCAACTCTTGGAGTCAAAGGGAACCTTTTGGTTTTTCAAAAAGCAAGTCTTGTCGAAGCCTGCATGAGAGGAGAGCCAATGAATACGCTCACGCAGCGCTTGCGCAAACGTACCTACTTTCGACCGCGCCTGGGCATCTAAGTGCAGCTGGTGGGTCACACGCTGCTGGCCCCTGCCTGGCCTTTAACTAGAACAAATTTCTCCAGCCTGGGCCTGCACAGCGGTTCACCATCGGCAGACTTGCAGTGTAACCTTGTCGAACTTGGAGCAGTTTGAGGATTTTTGGGTTCATGGTCAAACCGTCTTACATACTTTCACCCTGACTTCTTAGGCTTTCATACCTAGGTGGGCGTGTGGCAAGTGGTTTTCAGTTCCGTACGAATTATCCTGAGTGTGTCTGGCCTTGCGCCAGCCCAGGGTGTACTCGAAGAGTGTCCCCTGTTGTCGCACTCTCCCGGCCGCCAGAGCAGAGTAGCTCGCCGCGAACGCGGGAGGCTTACGCCAAACGTGGACTAAGACTTGACGGTTGAATGGAGCTTGCAGCGGCCGTAGTTTCCTCAAGACCCGGTGGGATCTGCGCTAACCTTAGGTCCATGCACACACGGCATATACAGAAACCAGACCACTTCCACCTAGGTTCGTTCTAATGGTTTGGCATCGTTTTCTTTTTCCGGCCGTTCATTTGGTTCCCCCCTTTCATCCTTTTTTCCCCTCTCACACGTTCTTTTTCCCCTTTCTTTTCATGTCTTTCCTGCCTTCATGCCTCGTCATCTCATCCTTTTTCTCTTTCGCCCACACACTGGTCCGACCCTTAGCGTATTCGCGCACAACTTCAAGCGGGGTTTTAGGTCGCCCAGGCTATTACAAGGAGGTTAAGTTCATCGTTTGTCCCTGGTCGCTTGGTTTCTTTTCATCGCAACCACATGCACTTGGTCTGTCTTGTCCTCCTCTCATGTCTTCATCTTTTTCCCGAGAGCGCCTGCGAAGGGTTCTTCGTAAAAAAACATCTGCAGAACTACATCTCATCTACATCTTCACATCTTCACCTCCGCACATCCACATTCTGACCTATATCTCTGCTCATCTTCACATCTACATTCACGTCTACATCTCTGCACATCTGCACAGCCTCACATCGACATCTCTGCTCATCTTCATCTTCACACATCTACATCTCTGCTCATGTTCACATCTGCACATGTACATCTCTGCTCATCTTCACATCCTCACATCTACACATCTACATCTCACATCTTTACCTCTCATCTACATCTCACATCTTCACCTCTCGCTCTTCTTAAATTTCTCTCTTAAGGCCAGGGGCAGTGCCGCCGGACCGCCACGAAACGCAACCCTCTGCGGAAATCGCGCGCGTCGAGGCCGCGAAATGCAGGCGAGAGTGCGATTTGTCCCGGACGCGGGACACCCTCTGCGGGGTTCGTGCGCGTCGAGTGCGCGAAATGCAGGCGAGAGCGCGATTTGACCCGGTCCGGCGCAACCCTCTGCGGAGATCGCGCGCGTCGAGTGCGCGAAATGCCGGCGAGAGTGCGATTTGGTTTTGTCCGGCGCAACCCTCCGCGGAGATCGCGCGCGTCGAGCGCGCGAAATGCAGGCGAGAGCGCGATTTGACCCGGTCCGGCGCAACCCTCTGCGGAGATCGTGCGTGTCGAGGGCGCGAAATGCAGGCGAGAGTGCGATTTGGATTTGTCGCGGGCAACCCTCTGCGGAGATCGTGCGTGTCGAGGGCGCGAAATGCAGGCGAGAGTGCGATTTGTCCCGGTCCGGAGCAACCCTCTGCGGAGATCGTGCGCGTCGAGGGCGCGAAGTGCAGGCGACAGGCGTTTTGGATTTGGCGCGGGCAACCCTCTGCGGAGATCGTGCGTGTTGAGGGCGCGAAATGCAGGCTAGAGTGCGTTTTGCCCCCGTCCGGCGCAACCTTCTGCGGAGATCGCGCGCGTCGACTTTGTAGTACATGCATCTCTAGTACGCGGAGCAATCTGTGGAGCTGGAAGCCGAGGACTGGCGACTTTGTAGTACAACTTGAGTCCGCAGAGTATCTGGGGAGCTGGAAGATGAGAACTGGCGACTTTCTAGTGCAACTTTAGTACGGGGAGTACCTGGCGAGCTGGAAGATGAGAACTGGCGACTTTGTAGCGCAACTTTAGTACGCAGAGCAAGCTGTGGAGCTGGAAGCTGAGAACTGGCGACTTTGTAGTACAACTTGAGTACGCGGAGAATCTGGGGAGCTGGAAGATGAGAACTGGCGACTTTCTAGTCCAACTTTAAATTTAGTACGCGGAGTATCTGGGGAGCTGGAAGATGAGAACTGGTGACTTTGTAGTACAACTTTAGTACGCGGAGCAATCTGTGGAGCCGGAAGCTGAGAACTGGCGACTTTGTAGTACAACTTGAGTGCGCGGAGTATCTGGGGAGCTGGCGGATGAGAACTGGCGACTTTCTAGTACAACTTTAGTACGCGGAGCAATCTGTGGAGCTGGAAGCTGAGAACTGGCGACTTTGTAGTACAACTTTAGCGCGGAGTATCTGGGGAGCTGGAAGTTGTAGTACAACTTTAGTACGCGGAGTATCTGGGGAGCTGGAAGCTGAGAACTGGCGACAACTTGAGTACGCGGAGCAATCTGTGGAGCTGGAAGCTGAGAACTGGCGACTTTGTAGTACAACTTTAGTACGCGGAGTATCTGGGGAGCTGAAAGATGAGAACTGACGACTTTCTAGTACAACTTTATTACGCG